TCCAGTTGATCCATATCTCACTGAATCCCATTTTGGTCATCATTGCCTTCAAGTAGTTCCCCTCCACCCTGTCGTAGGCCTTTGACATGTCTAACTTTAAAGCCATAAAGCCTTGAGATCCCTGCCTTTTGTTTTTAAGGTAGTGCAAGTACTCATGAGAAACTGTAACATTGTCCAAAATTTGTCTTCCAGGCACAAAGGCTGCCTGGTTTTTACTGGTGCAGTTATCCAACACTTTTTTCAATCTGTTTGCAAGAATTTTGGAAATGATTTTATACAGAACATTACAAAGGCTTATAGGCCTGAACTGCTTGATTTCAATGGGGTTTTCTACCTTAGGTATCAGGGATATGATGGTATGGTTAACTGCTTTCAGCATATGGCCAGAGTGGAAAAAACTTTTGATGGCCTGAATAATGTCTGTTTTGAGGATGTGCCAAAATTTTTGAAAGAAGATTGGTGTCATGCCATCCGGGCCAAGAGATTTTGTTGGGTTCATGGAGAATAAAGCTTCTTTAATTTCTATCTCCCAAACAGGTGTGATAAGTCCTATGTTCATTTGGTCAGTGATGGTCTGTGATATTCCCTCTAGGACCATATCTGTATGATCAACCCCTTTACTACTGAAGAGGTCTTTATAATGCTTCACTACTTCTTCTCCTATCTCCTCTTCTGTGTTTGTCCAGGACTGATCCTCTCTTTGTAACCTGTTAATCTTATTTCTTTTCCTTCTACCCTTCACACTAGAGTGGAAGAAATGGGTATTCCTATCCCCCTCCTTGAGCCATTGAACTCTAGATTTCTGGATCCAGAAAGTCTCTTCTTTATCATAAGCCTCCTTCAATTGCATTTTAAGCATCTTGTTTCTCCTCTTTGTGGCAATCACTGTTTTTTATTCCTCCAATTGCTTCTTCACCTTTTCAATGTTCTTCCTAGCATTTCCTTGAAAGTTGTTTCTCCACTTGAGGATTGCTATTCTGCATGTCGCAATTTTCCTATGTACTTTATACAGTCTTGAGCCTATTTGATCCTCTTCCCATGCCTGCTTAATCACATGTTCCAGACCCTCCTTTTTCAGCCATCTCCTATCAAATAAGAACCTTTTTTTCCATCTTTCTCTTAGAGGGTTGGAATCCAGTAAGATCATGCTATGATCTGAGCCAAAATTTTCAATGTGTTTAACACTAACTCTATCAAACTATTGGCTCCAAGCACTGCTCCCTAGAGCTCGATCAAGCCTTTGTTTAATTTCCCCTTCTTGAGTCCAATGATTACTCCATGTCCAAGGGTTGCCTTCAAATCCCAAATCTATGAGTCCATTTTGATTAATGAAGTGTCTAAAATCCTTGAAAGAGCATTCCTCCCTTCTTCTGCCCCCCCCCCATTTCTCCTCATTGGAAGTGATATCATTAAAGTCTCCTAAAATCAGCCACCTTTGTCCCCATAGCTCTTTCCTTCTCTCTATCACTCTCCATTGATTCCTCCTAATCTGATCATCAGTACTAGCATAAATTCCTATGAACCACCAGTCCACGTTAGTCTTAGTGTCCATAATGTGAACTTCCATAGTAAAAGCAGTGGTGAAAACATCTAAAACCTTCACCTCGTTATTCCACATTACTGTCATCCCTCCTGATTTATTCATTGATTCCACCACCACACTTTCCTCAAACCTCAACTGTTTTTGTGGTTTTCCCATGAAGTGTTTTATGTTTTTGGTTTCACACAAGAAAACCATGTTTGGGGAGAGGAGGTTGCAAGTCTCCCTCAACTGGGAAATTGTCAAGGGGCTCCCAGCACCTTGACAATTCCACACCATGACTTTCATTTATCCATTGGTGACCATGTTGGGCTAGTCACCTCCCCCTTTCCATGGTTTACACAGCTTTCTTGGCCTATCTCCATCTTCCCCTTTTTTCCAACTACCTCAACCACATCAACGTCCACCATATCTTCATCTACTAACTAAAATTTCCTCTTCCCTGTATTTTCTTTGTTCTTCAAGAGGTTTTGTATATCTTTCACAGGTTTTTTCCTCACAACTGGAGTCTTTAACTGTTTCCTAGTCCTTCTGATAGTTTTCTGATTGCTTGCCTCCTCCAGAACCTCCACTTGTTCCTCTACCTGCATACTCTCAGTTTCTGGTTCCTTCAAAAGTTGTTCCACAGGTCTCTCCAACACAATATTCAAATGTCCTATAGGAGACGTCCCTTCACCAGCTTCCTTTGCCTGTTCTTCTCTCCCTTCCCTAACATTTTTACTCTCTTCCATTCCTGGGACCTTTTCTTTTTCTTTTTCTTTACTTGCTAGATTGCTTCCTCCTTGTATACCAGTCTCATTAGTTCCATTCTCCTTTTGCCCTTGATCATTGGTATCAAGTTGCTTTTTTTCCATCAGTTTTCCTCCTCCTGTCATTGGAACCAAATTCCCATCTTTAAATCCCCAACGCTGTTTGTTGGGAGATATGTTGACTGGCTGTCTACCTCCCCTCTCTTTTTGAGGTGACAACTTCCCCCCACCAGCTCTAAGCCATGGCCCAAATTGATTATCCAGATGACCTCTCTCCACTTGTATGCTGGCTGTACAATTCCTTTCACCATGTCCTATCTTGCCACAGGTGTAGCAGAAGTCTGGGCACCGTTCATACCTAAAGCTTACCCATTTCACATTTCCATCCATTTTGACCGTGGTACCTCTCATTAGGGGTTGTGATATATCTGCCATTACCAACACCTTGATGTGCCTTCCCTCCTTACCTCCCCCTTGAGGTATGATAACCTCCTTTGTTTCCTGGAACACTAAGGCTATTTTCCTCCCCACTTCCTTTGAAATCCAGTGTACTGGGAGCTTCCAGACTTGTATCCATAATGGAGCAATGTTGAAGTCAGTCGTTTCCTCTTCGAACCCTACAAACCATGGCCAAACCACTAGCATTTGACTGTCAATGATCCAAAGCCCTTCATTAGAGATCCTATCTCTATCCTTTTCACTGGGAATGAAGAACTGGAAAGTATTGACTCCTACCTCCACCACCCTCAAGCCTTTAGGGGTATCCCCATGCTAGGGTAACAAAATTTTTAACTCCCACGAAATTTATGATTTTTTCTCTTTTTATCTTCCCCACCAGACTTTCTTCACATTCCTTAACACTTGGTCCTACATCTCCCAGATCAATTTCTGTACCTCCCAACTCCTTTGTTGATAGCACAAATTTTTTCAGGATCCCCGCTATCTCCTCAGCCATAGGGCTCCAGCTAGGTTACTAGAGAAGAAATATCACTGACCAGATCACCACCAAGTGATGGCCAAGGGTTAGCTCTACCGAACAAGGGTGATCTACTCAGTTCTCTCACATTCTAGGTATGAAAACTACCACTAAAAAGAAGCAGTTCAGAGACGCGACTATAAGAAAAAAGTTGACTACCCTACTACTGCATCAGTGCTTTAAAACCCCTAACTAAATGAAAAACAAATTTGCTTTTTCCTTTTTTCCTTTTTCCTTTTTTCTTTTTTTCCTGCGTTTTGAAAAATCTAAAAACAGAGTACTCCCTCTAATGGGAACTACAAATATACAAAGAGTTAGAACGAAGAAGGTTATGATCATGAAGAAGGTTATACAAAAGGTCTTGGAATGCCCCAGAAATTGAATGTCATGGCAAGAACCAAGAAGGTTGTCAGGATGCTCACTTTCTTGGGCATTAAATTATACAGAATTTTACTTTATTCTTTTGTAGTTTAATTGATATTGTTGCAATTATAGAAATTTAAATAACTACTTACTAATATAGCTCCATAAATTTGACTGGACTACAAATTAACAAACAGATCGGAAGTGTGAACAAAGATTACAATGTATATGAAAAATTGACAAAGATTAGATTCGGAAAGTCTAAAATATATTCCGAATTCATATATAAATCAATTGTAGCCCAAATGCAATCTGCGCATCATCAAATATACTAGTTTTGCGCATCATCAAATATACTAGTTTTCTTTTTTTTTTTGGGCAAATCAGCTCATTTTCAAATCTACTAGTTAATTGCTTCTCAAATATCAGGCTGAAGATTGACAGAAGAAATTGAAGAAATTTCAAATCTGACAAGCAGAGATGAAAAGACTTAATCTAACAAGGAGAAAGTACCTAAAATGACCCAAAAAAAAACTCTTATTAGGAGACCTTAATATCAAAGCAAACTCTCACTAGAAATTCTAAGAGAGAAACTAGAAGATCTTATGAAAAAAGAAATTGCTTGTTAAACATCCCAAGAGAGACTTTCATTTGAATTGTAATTTTTTGGAGTTTTTAAAGAAAAATGTGTTATGGCAATTTGATATATGATAAGTAAAAAAATAATTGAAAAATATGTTTGTGAAAAACATAAGTTTTTTGAAAAAAAAAACACATTATCAGCGTATATAAGATTAATTATATTTAAAGGAAAGAATAAAGCTATAAGAGCACAGCAGGTGTGTTCTAAATGCAATATTTGCTTAAGGCTAAAATTAATTAATGCAAGTGGGAGAGAGAAAAATAGAGCGACTCTATTACATTTTGCAGCAGCCAGGACTCCTTTTCACACTCATGAAAAGTGATGACCTTAACAAGAAATTTTTGTACTCTATCCTACTAACTTTTTTTGGTACTCTATCCTACTCTATCCTTCTAACTGATGGTATTATTCTCACCAACAAAGGGGACAATCATTTCTTCGTTAACACATTGTTGACTTCAAGACCTGACGGGTTTTGGGATAAAAAATCTCAGTGGCCATTGAACTATTGGTCGAATCAAGTTTTGATCATTAAACAATTTTTCATCATAAATTGACCACTAAACTAATTAATCAGTACACCTGCGACCATTGCGTCAATTGATACTCTTAATCTATAAAATAAGCAGAACACCTGGCAAAGTGCAGGAGCAGTTTTGTCCACCACTCATACGATTAAAAGCAAAACTATGCCACGTGTTTTGCTTATTTCATAGATTAAGAGCATCAATGGACGCAATGGTTATGGGTATGTTGATTAGTTAATTTAGTTGCCAACTTACGATGAAAATCGTTTGATAGTCAAAACTTGATTCGATCAATAGTTTAGTGACCGTCAAAATTTTTTGCCCATGGGTTTTGATTACTAATTGAATCACTATATTTTTGGTTCATTATGTCAATCCCTTCAAAGGCATGAATTTAATATTCTTCCATAAAAAATAAACAGATCCACCATCTTCCTTACTAGTATCCCACTGGATTTTTTTTTAAAAAAAAAAAATTGATTTGCAGATTGTTTAGTTGTTTTGGGACCGAAAGTGGCATGATCACTATAAATTTCTGTATCCAATTTAAAAATTTATAAAACTGCTGATATTTTGTTTTATTCAGTTCACTAACTCCCATCACCGTGGCTTCGATCCGCTTCGTTCAAGGATGCCAATATAGTCAAGGTATAATATCAGATACCTCTTGAAGTTTATCTTGATGTCACTTAGTACCCTTAAGCCCTTAAGGTTTTTAAATCGACTCTTGAGTCTTCAGGGACCAATGGGCTTGGCTTTATCAAGTTTCACAGAAACAATCTAAAAGAACTTGCGGAGCTTGATTTAATTGCATATTCAAAGGATCAAATTCAGGAAGTCCAAAAAGAGTTAAAATTCTTGGGATCTGTTTTCAAGAAGCATGAAACGCTTACAGCTTTTAAGATGCGTGTTTTGAAGGAAGTCCACAAGGTAATGTTTGTAATTAATTCCTCCGATCTTTCACCTTCGTCCTTTGATAGGATCTTAGAAGAAATATTCCTTTTGAAAATTGAGGCCCTCGTGATTGATGTGATGTATGGCTCTGAAGCCCAGAAACTTGCAAATATTTCTAACTATGTCTCGCTACAAGAAAGCAACCCACATCTGAAAGATGGTTTGGTAGGTTTCCATGAGGTGATAGATGAAATAATTGGTCAAGTTAGAAATATAGCCCAGAAGAAATTGGACATTGTATCCATTGTGGGCATGGCAGGACTTGGCCAGACAACTTTAGCCAAACGAGTGTACGAGCATCCTGCTCTGAGAAACAACTTCAATTTTCGGGCATGGTGCAATGTTTCTCAGGAATATCAGAATGAAGGTTTGTTACGTGAAATTCTGGGTTGTATTCATCCTGAGAATTCTAAGCTGTACTCTAAGAAGGAAGAAGGTGCTTTGGCTTTAGAGCTCAAACAATCCCTATTGAAAAATAAGTACCTCATCATCTTGGATGACGTATGGGACTTAAAGGCATGGAATACCTTGAAAGTATCATTCCCAGATGATGAAAATGGAAGCAGAATTATTATAACAAGCAGAATGCATAGGGTGGCTTCAGATGTTAAATGCTACAGTGAACCTCACTGCCTTCGGCCATTCAACGATAATGAGAGCTGGGAGTTACTAAAGAAAACACTCTTTCCCAACGATGATTTTCCTCCTAAACTGCGAAGAGTTGGGATGCAGATAGCTAAAAGCTGTGGTGGCCTACCTCTCTCAGTTGTCATCATAGCTGGAATTCTGCGAACTATAGAACAGGATGGTTGGGAGGAATTTGCAGCAAGGCTAAGTACAAGTGTAGTTAGCGGCACAGAGCAGTGCATCAATATGTTAGAACCATGGTTCAAAGTCGCGATCGCGGCCCGGAACGTTCCACATCGGTCTCGACATATCGGTCGTGGTCTCGGTAAGACACAAATTTTAAAGTATTTAATATTCTAAAAATTGTTAATAATATAAAAAAGTATACTAAATAAAAATAATTAAAAAATAGCAAAAGAAACGGCCAAGTCAATCCGTTGCGGTGTGACTCGGCTGATTTCTCGTCTTGACTCGGGATAACTCGGAGTGACTCGGCCGAGTCAATCCGTCGCGGTGACGACTCGGCCGATTTCTCGACGAGTCAAGTATTTCGGTATCGTTTCGTCACAGTATCGTATCGGTAGGGACCGAGACGGTGACAACTCGGCCGAGTGGTCTCGACCTCGGCCGAGACTTCGAACCATACTTAGAACTCAGCTACAGGCGTATACCTGATTGCTTGAAGAAATGCTTTCTTTATTTTGGAGCATTTGTACGAGGTCAAGAAATTCCAACTAAAAGGTTAATGTGGCTATGGATCGCCGAAGGATTTGTGCAACAAGTTGAGCAAGAGGAATCAGAGGAAGTGGCAGAGCGCTGCATGAAAGATCTAATTGACAGAAACTTAATTATGGTTGCCAGACGAAGATCCATTGGTGGGGTTAAAACTTGTCGCGTTCATGATTTGCTACGCGAGTTTTGTGCAGCAAAAGCTAAGGAAAAGGCTTACCCAAAAGGAGGTAAGGAAGAGACTGACCCAAAAATAGCCAAGGCAGAGAATTTTTTGCAGTTGTTACACGGTTATGATGGACTTTTTACTTTTAGTGAGTCATACAACACAAGCAGGTTTTGCATATACTCTAAGCAAGAGCATTTTGAGAAGTCAAGGCTATTTTGTCCTCAGATCCGTTGTCTGATGTTCTTTTCCCATGGTGATAGGTACCCAACAAAATACTGTGATAACTTGTTCATATTTAAAATCTGCAAACTTCTTACAGTGTTGGATTTGGGGGAAGTTCTCCTAGGTGAACATTTTCCCACTGAAATAGAGGTGCTTGTTGAGTTAAGGTACTTGGCAATTTGGGGTAAGATGCAATCCATCCCATCGTCAATAGCCAACCTCACCAATTTGGAAACTTTTCTTGTTAAAGGGAATTCGGGTGATGATGTTATTATGTTGCCAGAGAATATTTGGAGTATGATGAATTTGAGGCATCTAGGCGTGAGCAATTGTTGTGGTGACATGAGTCTGGCCAAAGACAATCTTGACAACTCCTGGGTTCTATGTAACTTGAGCACCTTTTCCAAACTAGCGCTCGTTTACGAGCAAGGCGTGGAAAAGCTGTTCACAAAGTTCCCTAACATCCGTAGACTAAAGTGCGAGCTCCGTGAACCAGAAGATTCAGAGGAATTGGGTACGCATTGCAGCAGGGTTGTGTCAATGGGCTTTCTAACTCGGCTAAAATCACTCAGTCTGTCTCTTAAATTCATTGATCATTCAAATCCTATTCAGTTTCACCTTCCACCGAATCTCGAGAAGTTAAGCCTCTCGTACTTTCCCCGGAGTATGATTTCTGCAATTGAGAAACTAACCAATCTTGTGGCTCTCAAATTATCGAATGATAAGGAGGACATATCCGACAGAGAAGAAGAGCTCCCTCATGAAAATATGACAGACAGTGACCATGAGGAGGAAATTCCGGAAGTGGTAGAAGAAAGGGAACAACCTGAGGAGGAAACAAGAAGGGCGAAAAGATGGGACGTAGCAGAAGAAGTTGAATTTCCGAAGCTCAGATTCTTAAAGTTATCTTCCATGACTATTTCCAGGTGGACAGGGTCGGGTGATCATTTTCCAGGTCTTCAGAGATTAAAGTTGGAGGACTGTTGGTATTTGAAAGAAATGCCGAACTGTTTAGGGTCTAATTCACCTCTTCAAATGATTGAGATTCGCTATTGTCCGATCTCTGTTGAATTTTTAGTAGACGAGATTGAGAGACAACAAAAGTATGAAGGAAATCAGGGCCTGCAGATTTTTAGACAACAAAATTATGAAGGAAATCAGGGCCTGGAGTATGAAGGAGATCAAGGCCCGCAAATTTATAGCTTCTGGAGGTAGAATAGCACAGGTTTTTTTTTTTTTTTTTCTACTTTGTATTGTACCTTATCTGACATGTTAAACGAGGTGAAATCATGTTATCATTGTAAATTCATTGGAAATGAGTATGAAAGCAGACCACCTCTTTGTTATAGTATTCACAGCAATAAAGATAGAAGTGGAAGTTGGAAAGGAAAAACAAAAAAGAAAAGCAATGGATGAAGACTTCATCTGACACAAATGATATTGTTTTTCTTTTTCTGTGGAAACCTTTGACCTAAGTTATCAATAGCAAATCATTATTTGCTTATTTAAACTATAATGTTTTCGAGAGAAAAACCAGATTGCCACAATCTCACATTGTTCCTACTTAACTACTGAGAAGTAGATAAACATCACAAACACCAGTGAACCAAAAATGTAGTTGCTATAATTGTGCTTCATGATTAAGGAGTAAAGACCAAAAAAGAAGTGCAAATTGCAAATGCTAACGTTTGGGGACTACTTGTGCTCATAGGGACCGGACTCAAAGAGAAATCTTCAAATTGTTATTGCTTATTATGAATTTGGTAATAGACAAAACTAGATGTCTATTGGCAGTAAAATGCAATTTATAACCAATAAAAAGAGGATAGTATTCCTTCATTCTTTTCTCTTTAGTATTGAATCTTAAAGTTAATTCCATTTTGCAACCTTGGATTATATTTTAAGTCTCACTTTGGTCTTTGAACTAAAGTTTTGAACACTTGCTCTATAAAATATTAAACTCGTCCTACTATAATGCAGTTGTTAATAGAACATACAAAACTAACAAAAAAACTGCCACTTTCTTTAAACAAAGTATCTAGTTTTAGTTTTAAGTAACTAAAGTTTAAGGAGTAACTGAAAATCATGGTATACTTCTCAACTAAAGTCCACGGATAGAAAACTTTCTTTATAATACAACTTTGAATCTCGAAGCAAATCCTTATATAGCCTCTCTAAGCTGTCGAGAAATCTCTTTCCCCCTTGTCTTGTGTGCTAGTAGAATGACAACTCCTCTATTTATGGAGTACATTAATTGGCCAACACCCAAACAATAATAGAAAATATCTCAACTAATTTGTAAACTCGTACAAATTGCAAAGAACTTGGCCATTACTCCAAGTACTGGAAACCAACTGGAAAGTACTCTCACACAAAAGAATGAACTTTCTAAAACTGAAAAACAAGTCAATTTCCTAAAATTAAACTTTTCAAAAGTTTATGCATAATGTACATGGGGGTTGAGGGGCGGGAACAGACACGCTTGACTATTTGTACCAACACAACCGTTCCTAAATACTGTAATGTTATTTGAATAAAATGTAAGACACACTTAATTATTAATTTGTACAACTTCATAACAGTGGTGTGATATTCTGTGATTATTCATGACAACCATTACAAACACATACATATGCACATTTAAAAAATTTTAAGAAAGCAACAAAAAAACGTATAAAAAATACACGAAGCTGTAATATTGCACGGTATCATAATTAAGCTTTGATAATTTGTTGTTATGTTTGCTTAGATATAAACATACACTAAACTAAAACTGGTTTTTCAACATTGCCCGTCTAGATAGGAAAGAGTAAGTCCCTTAGGAAATCACTAAACTATTGCAAAAGAAAATATTGATCACTCAAGTAAGAGTTTCAGGTAACGCACTCAACTTTTTTATTTTGTAAATTATTAGCCATTCAATCTAATTTTTATGGTCAAATCCTTTGATTTCATTAAGTCCAGGGTCATTTACGTCTGTAAATAATAATTATGTACACAATAAATTTACATAAAAATGAGAAGAAAGACCCATCAACTGCCTAAACCCTCAGTGAAGCCATAATAAAAGAGATAAATTGATCCAAAAAAGATAGATATATAAGATTAAAAAAAAACCAACATTTTCTGGGTGATTTCTTCCTTTTCTGCTCTTCAAAGTTATGCATAGCGAATATATAAAAGATTCTAGCTTGATGGCATTCCTAATGACTACAATGTTCAAATTCTTTTAGTTTAGGGAATTGGAAGTTTAGCCGTTTTTGAAGCTTTCAATCTGTGGTCCAATTCATGTTCTTATTCAGTTCGGATGTAGCAATTTTTAATATGCTAATTCAGTTGCACATTTTAAAACGTTGAAACCATAGTAATTGGACCCCATAATGTTTGTTTGTTTGTAACAAACCTGTATCCAAACTCATAAACACCAAATTTTCAACACAAAATATTTTTTTTTTTCCAGAAATGATAGATGAATATATTTCTACTAAGAGAGAATTTACAATATATGAGCAATGGCTCAAGTTTTGCTTTACAAAAGTGTACTAAGACACTGAGAATCAAAGAACTCCTCATCAAAATAGATGTGTATTGCTTGCTTACTCAGTTTATAACTGAGTGTATTAGTACTACCATTACTAGGCTGGCTAACAAATGAGCATGTCCTAAACATTAAGCTTAGATCATTGATGCATTCAAGATGGCCTGCTATACAGATGTTGGTTGGGGCTTGACAGTTTATCAACTTTAAAGTCTGGTTATATGATGTCTAAACCTGTATGTGTTGCCAGCCGCGTTCCTTTAGCTTACAAAGTGCCAATTGTATAGCCACCAAAATGTTTGCTTGAGCAGTATATGATATCCATGTGAGAACAAGTAGCTATATCAGTTAAATTTAAGATAGCGGTTTCACTGAAGCTCAAAATTTGAGATTTAGTTGCATAATTTCAACGATTTAAATTCAACGCTCAACTTGTAATTGGGTCAAACAATAAGTGAAAATTTTAGCTTATTCAAAATTTCAAGGTTACACAGTGGTACTGGCACTCCTTAATTTATGCTGATTCAACCTTGTCATTTGATTTTAATTGTTAACTGGGTTTGCAATTATTTTTTGTTCATGCCCGATAGCCTCGAGGCAATAATCAACGGACAGACAGAATAATTGGGTTTGAAGCTGCAGCTGAGAAAGTATTGGAACTTCTCGGTGGGGAAAAACTATCTCAAGGCAAAACCAAGAAGGAGTGGGTGGGCGCCTCCGTGGCAGGGAAACAGAGTGGGGCAAAACTAGTTGAAGCCAAAGACCAGAAAGAGAAGCTGAGCTTCACCGAGGTAGGGCAACATAGCGAGTCAAAGCCGCTAAAATAAGTGTCCATTCATGGAATGCTTGGACTAGGAAAGACGACACTTGCAAATAAGGTATTAACTGACCCAAGAGTTTAATATAATTTTTTTACTCGTGAATTGGTGACGGTTTCGAGTAAACCCAAGATGAAAGAAGTGCTGCTTAATATCCTAAGCAAGTTGAAGGCTGTGTTTTCAGGCTCGGACCGGACCGGCCGGTCGGACCGGGAACCGGCCAGGCATCCGGTCCGAGCTAGCTAAAAAACTCGGCTGTTAAAAAACCGGTCAAACTCGGTCATAACTCGGGTTGGACCGGTGAACCGGAATTTTTGGTTAACTCCGGTTTTTTATTTTTTTCCATTTTCGGCCTTTTTTTGGGTCAGACTTTGACAAATTGACCAACTAAAAACGCTAAAAATTGACTGAAAAAATAGAGCAAAATTGACAAAAGCTTTCGTGAGCTTCTGTTTGAGTGTTTCTTCTTCAGCCGATAGGCAATAACCTCGCCGATAACCACAGCAGTTCAGCCACCACCGCCGCTCTTGAGATCCATCGCCGATCTCTGGCCTCCATCGCTCTTGAGATCCACAGCCTTCAATCTCTGGCCTCCACCGCCGCAACACCACCAGTTCGTTCAGATTTCAAGAGAAACAAGTAGTTAGCAAGCGGGTGAACTGAAGCTAAAGCCTAAATCTGGTAATTTTTCCAATCTGAAGGCTATTATTGCTGATTTGTTATGCTAAAGTTGATATGTGGCTGGAATTTTTTGATTCATTATGCTGGGCCTTCGGGATTGGATATTGCGGGTGTGAAACTAATACGAAGGCCACAACTGTTGTGCTCTGTTCTCAGTTCTCTCCCTTTCTTTTATGCACGTTTCTCCCTTTCCAGCTAACTGAATCACCTAGATGAAAGACAAATGTATCAGTTTGCAAATTTATTGTTGCCCGAATATGACGCCTGTGATTTTTCAAAAACTAAACTATTATGGCGTATGTTAAAAACTTTCTACCATTTTTACATGGATGAAATGGATGAGGATTACATGGAAGGGATGAAATGGATGAGGATTACTTTGAATGGAAGATGATTTTGAGAGGACAGACAAGTATGATAAACCTCCAGGTCCTATAATTTAGCACCCCCAATCATATGCACATTTTAATAGCTAGACCTTCTATTTTTGTTAACCATGAGCTTTAATGGTTTTATCCATTATAAAACGATAAAATGTTGACTGATTATGTTTCGTTAAATTGGAGATTTTACATTACTGGTTTATGAATCTGAACCCTGTCTTAGCTTATAGGAATAAGGTATATAAACTTTGGCCTGACAAAATGTGGCCTTCCCCGTTACTGATTGGAAGTTTCCAGGTTGCGTGCCATAAGACACCATTGTTAGGCTTTTCTGCTTAAACAAATATTACTGGACAGGGAGTTCCACAGGTTTGGTGATCGATTTCTCATCTATCATCCTCCTTTTCAGACTTTCATTAGACTTGATAAAAGAATGGCAACATAACAAGGATAAAAAGAACAATTGATCATATTGTTCGCGCTTAAGCCTGGGAAAAATCAATGGAACATCTTTACCAAAATGATAAGAAAACCCAACCTTTAATCCCAGTTATTTTAACCACGTTCCATCAGGTTTTGTTGACTGGCCGGGTTTTATCACACTTAAAAGAGTGAAAAAGAAATCCAATGTGGCTGGCTTAGGAAGAGCAAAACCCCCAATGAGTAGCTAATGTGAACGATCACTAACATGTATGATTTAACAGTGAAAGTGAACTGGTACTAGTTTATATATGTATTTGATATTTGAACATTTAACTTCATATTCTGGTTTATACTTTGTATTGCAATTCTTGGGTGGAAAAAATCTAACAAGAAATGCTTCATGACACTTGCTTAAATTATCAATACATATTTTCTCGAATCATTAAGAGCACTCTAAAGTACATTCGCATTTTATGAATTCCTTCTTTCAATTGAATGTTTAAATACTACTGCAGAGACTGCTATCATATTAATCTTGAGCTACTTCGGCTACCGTTTGACAATGAACAAGATTGATGTAAAAAAAAAAACCTTATCAGAATTAAATTTGGAAACCCATTCTGTATTGAATGAATACAGAAGAAAAAAGAAAGTAAATATAGAAAAACCCATTCTGAATTGAATGAATAGAGAAGAAAAAAAAAGTTAAGTATAGAAAAGCAAGTAGTTGACAATGAATAAGACAATTGCTTTTCTTTTTGGAAGGAAAAAACTAATGAGAATTATATAAGTGGAGAACACATCCTCTGATAGGCTATAGAACACCAGAAAATGAAAACTTTCTCGAGGGCCTAAACAGAATTGAATAATGCAAGTGGCAAATAGAGAGAAAAGTAAAGCTTATCTATTACATGTGGCAGCAAGTAGGATTCATAGAGTTTGAAAACAGGATTCATAGCAAGCAGGATTCATTGCCAACAAGCAGGATTCATAGCAAGCAGGATTCATTGCCAACAAGCCTTTGAAAAACCATATAGTTCCTGCGGACTTCAATTTCAACATACTTTTAGCTTTGATATTCTTTTCTCATACTCAATGGCTGTACACATATGGCTAATGATAGCTAATGTCTGTGCATATATGGCTATGCATAATTGCTGTAGATTTTCATTTATAGGAGATTTTTTAAATTATTTAATATTTTCAATGTTCTTTCTAATGTAGGACAATGGAAGGTACCGATTCACAGTCCACACCAACAAATGAAGGATCGGCATCAAAGTCAAGTTCTGAAAATGTTAGGCAAAAAACTGATATAGCTTGGAGATATGCTATAGAAGGACAAGATTCACAAGGTAGAAGAATTTTGATATGTCAATGGTGCAGTAGTATTTTTAGAGGGGGAGGTATTAATCGAGTGAAGCATCATCTTGCAAAAGTAAAGGGTAATGTGGCTCCATGCAAAAATGTGCCAAATGATGTTCAGCAGATAATGGAAGATTCATTGAACGAAAATGTTAAAAAAGCAAAAGAGAAAAAAGGGATATTTGAAATTGGAAATCCATTGGGCCGAAGTGTAGCGGGATTTGAAGATGATGATATTCAAGAAATTCCTCATCCAAAAACAAAGACTCAAACTAACATGAGTGGGAATAAGGGAAAAAGAAAGGCACATGGCATTGAATCTTATATGACAGGTAAATCTCTTGATCACTCTCAACCGAGTATCAAGTCTTGTATGCAAAGTAAAGAGAGATGGCATGATACTGACATGGCTATAGCTTTGTGGTTTTATGATGCATGTATTCCAATGAATGCTTGTAATTCTCCCTATTACCAACAAGCAATTGGAAAAATAACAAGTATGGGTCATGGTTATCAAGGACCTAGTTATCATGCTTTAAGGGTAACTTTGTTGAAAGATGCAAAGAAGCAAGTTGAATTAATTGTTGACAATCTACGTAGTAAATGGGCTGAAACTGGTTGCACAATTATGGGTGATGGCTGGAAGGATAATAGGCAAAGAAGTTTGATCAATTTTTTGGTCTATTGTCCTAGTGGGATCTCATTTATCAAATCTGTTGATGCTTCAGATTTTGAGTCTAATGCTGAATATTTGTGCAATCTGTTTTCAGAAATTGTTGAGATTGTTGGATCTAGTAATGTTGTTCACATGGTCACAGATAATGCAAGTAATTATAAAGCTGCCGGTCGATTACTTTCTGAAAAATATCCTACAATTAGTTGGTCTCCTTGTGCAGCACATTGTTTGAATTTAATTATGAAAGATATTGGAGAAATGACTCATGTGAAAGATGTAATTACTCTTGCTTCAAGAGTCACTGTGTATGTTCATAATCGAAAGTGGATTCTTAGTTGGTTAAGAAAAAGGCCTGGTTGGAGAGAGATTCTTCGTCCTGCGGAAACACGATTTGGTACTAATTTTATTGCTTTGAAGAATCTTCATGATTTGAAACAACATTTGGAGGCTTTAGTGACTTCTAGTGCATACAAGAGAGAGTTGAAAAATGAAAAAGGTAAAGAAGTCAAACAAATTGTTGTTGATGGGAAGTTTTGGAATAATTGTTTGATTATTGTGAGAATTATGGGTCCAATTATGCGCTTGTTGCGCATTTGTGATTCTGATGAAAAACCATCATTGGGTTATGTATATGAAGGCATGTGGAGAGTTGTTAATGGCATTAAAGAGCTGTTTAAGAACAAGAAAAAGTTCTATGGTCCATACATTGATATAATTGATAGGAGGTGGGATAATATGTTGAAAAAAGATCTTCATGCAGCTGCCTTTTGGTTGAATCCGGCCTTTCAATATGATAAGGATAGCCCTTGTCACATGCCTGAGATTATGAAAAGTGTTTTAGAAGTCATGCAAAAGCTAAAAATGGATGGACTTCAATATATGATGGATGAAATATCAATGTTTAGGTCAAAGGATCAAAGTTTTGGATTTGAATTTGCTCAAAATACTCACAAAACTGTCCGTCCAGGTATGCCTACTCTAATTTCACATTGATTATGTTAAGAATTACTTTTGTTGGTTTTTTTAAAAAAAGATTACTAATTATGTCTTACTAATATAGATGAGTGGTGGAAATTGTTTGGTAATGATGCTCCACATTTACAAAAGTTGGCAATTAAACTCTTGAGCCAAACATCTTCTTCTTCGGGATGTGAACGCAATTGGAGTGTATTTGAACGCATCCATACCAAAAAGAGAAATAGACTTGAGCATCAAAGGTTGAATGATCTTGTTTATATTCATTATAATTTACGTTTGAAGAATAGGTATGGAATTACTATTATACATGCTTACTTTCTTTTGTAAATTTATTACTTTTTTAAAATTACTTACTTCTTTTATTTTTTTTGCTCTTTTTTTCATTGTAGGCTTTCATATAAAAAGAGGTCTTATGATCCGGTGGATTATGAAACTATTGATAAAGTTGAATTTTGGGTAATTGATGAGGAACAAGAAGGAGAGCTTGATTATGATGAGTTAGAAGAAATGATTGAAGAAGAATTTCCCAAAACTAGCGAGAATGAAGCCTCTCAATCACGTAAGTTTATATTTGCTAACTTTATTTAAGTTTCTTTTTAATTTGTGTCTATTTTTGAATATTTTTATTTATGAGTATTTAAATGATTTGTAGATAAGAAAGACACAAATATTGTGCAACTTGATGATGAGGATGATGTTGATGATATCGACTTCGAAAGTTATGAAATTGGAGATAAGGATGATGAGGATGAAGATGAAGAATGGCTTAGATAGTTCTGTGGAACATGGTGTTTTATTTAGATTGATATTATCAAGCATTTGAACATGAACTTGTTACCTTATTTGGATTGCTATTTGTTAATGATTGAACATATATGGGATTTCTATTTTATAAATTTGTGAGTTTGGATGAATTTGGTGAATTGTTTGATGAATTAGATATAAATTTAGATGACTGGGTTCTTTGGTTATATTTTGTAAATTTGATTTGCAGGTATGTGTGTGTGTATATAATATATATATATATATATATATATATATATATATATATATATATATATATGACGTATATATGACGTCATCCGAGTCGACCCCCTATCGACCCCGGTCGAACCCATTGACCCCTGACCCCCGACCTCTGCCGAGTCGAGTCCCAGTCCGAGTTTGAAAACATAGGTTGAAGGTTACGGATAAGGAGATTTAGAACCTGTCGGAGCCAGATTTAGTTGCCAAGGTCCACCGGGAATTGAATCACAAATATTTGAATCACCAGATTTAGTTGCCAAGGTCCACCAGCTGCTCAGAAAAATTCTCAGCCCTATAAATTGCGATTTATGGAACAAGAAGAGGCTGAGGAATTATTAAGGACAAAGGTTTTCGGTGAAAACGAATGTCCAAAGAAACTGCAATCCATTGAAAGGGACATTCTGGCAAAATGTGATGGGTTACCTGTTACCACCAGCAATAGTGGTAACAGGTGGTATTCTGAGTAAAAAGCCACAAGACTGCGAGTGGTGGGGTCTGGTGCTTCGTGGTGTGCCTCAGTTGGTTCGTGAAAAACAGAAAACGGTTGATGAGTTGATTAGACTGAGTTATAATAACTTGTTCCACAAAGTCAAACATGGTTCAAAGTCGTGGTCATGACCCGAATAGTTTCATATCGATTTCAACATATTGATCACGGTATCGGTGAAATACAAATTTTAAAATATTTAATATTCTAAAAATTATGAATAATATTAAAAAAAGCTAAACAAAACTAATAAAAAAATTAGCGAAAGAAAATTTGTAAAATGTACTATTTTTATACATATTAAACACAATAAGTATCTTTAATCATTTAATATAATGGCATCACAAACAAAATCAAGATAACATAGAACACAATTTTAAAACTAATAATTGCAAAATAATATTAACCATTAACAATGCAAAATAAGGATTTATTTATAGTATAAAGTTGGAATAACTTCACTTATTTCATGATCAATCTCCTGCCAAAAATAAAAATGAATCATATTAAACAAAAGACAAATATCTGCAAAGATATACTATTACTTTATATTTTCGTACATGTCAATACCAAGTAAAGTGACAATATGGTTCAAAATCACCTTTATTTCCAGATGAATGGTAAAACAGTTGTAAATGTGGCACAAGATCTTGAGTAGATAACGTGTAAGAGCTATATGATGTATTTGCTAGATGTGAGGATTGACTAAACGTTCCATTGTCATTAGACGGAAGAAATTCTGGATTGGTGATGAATTGCTGAGCATGATGGTAGTATCCAAACCCTGGATAATTAACACTATCGCTAGTACTATATGATGCAGCAGAATCATGATCATAAAATCCAATGCTATTGGAATCAAAAGAAGAACCGTCATGAGATTTATATATTTCTTGTTCATAATATCCACTACCATGAATGTTAGTAGAGCTTTCGACCTGTTTAGATCCACCAAATGGCCCATGTCCACTGTAATAGCCAAGAATGATTTCATATGATTAGTCATAGCTATATCCCAATTGACTAGTGGTCCACTTTTGGCTAGATTCATACTCATAGGTTGGGTGTATACCCAAATTCTGTGTCTGCTCATTGACTCTTCTATATCTTTGTGAGCCTAAATGGTGAAAGAAAGTCTCCTCACTCGAAAACTGAGTTAAATTATTGAAGAATTGACGTTGTGTTTCAATGCCAGGACGATAGTCATGATCAGTATCTTGAGTGGTATAATAATTATCTTGTCCTTGAACCCATGACACGCCTCCTGTTGTTGGCTATTGACGGGTTCTTTTTGTATCAATGCAAGTTTAATTCCGATTTTACACCCGTTGGACTGCAAGTATACAGGTCGAAATTTTAGTACAAGATGTGTATCGGGTCGATCCCACGAGGAGCAATTTAAACAATTACTAAGCCCCTGTTCTCTCTATTATTTAGACTTACCATTAATTTTGAGCAGAGAAAATCTAATGCTGTAATCTACAAATCTGATATACAAATCTAGTTTAACAAATGCTGAATGCAAATAGAGAAATTTCACTTAATGAAGATTCTAGGGATGTAGATTCCACTTATGGCATAAACTACACAAATAAATGGATTTACTTCTTGCTATTATTCTTGCTTAACCAGAGATTTATTTCCAAGATTACCAAGTCTCATTTCCATGATGAAATGGCTTAGAGCAATATAGATTTCCCTATTTCCATGGTGAAATACTACTACAACTCTGTTTTAATTCATGAAATACTAAGTAATCCACTTAAGTGTATTTCTATTTTCATGAACATACAACTCAAGCTCTACTCATGTGTTTCCATTGTTATTACCAATTCTCATTGAACAATAACAACTGTAAACAAGTTATTGGTGATCAAACAATAACAAGAAATCACAGCTACACAAGTAGACAAGTTAACTCAAGATATAACAAGTGTAAATCACATTCAATTAGTATTATTTAGCCATAAGTTTCATCTACTCCCTAGATGAAGGAGTTTAGCTACTCATGAATGATTTAACAATCAAATTCACAAGTTTATTAATGCAAAACATCATAAAGTACAAGTATAAGAAAGATAAAAGAAAGCTTAGCCAATTGAAGGTGAAGCTCTCCAATTACTGCTATGTTCTTGCACAATATGATTACAAGTGAAAACTCTCCAAAAAAAAATGCTTCTCCAAGTACTCCTATCTAGAGAGAAAACTTGTTGCAAGAAGGAAAACTAGCTACGTATGGTTCTCCTTGCTTCTCCCTTGTGTTTCTGCATAAAAGGTGGTAGAAATTCCATTCCTCTCACTTCATAATTTCCTCCACTTAGATTTTGTAAAAAGAAGTCAAAGATATGATGTTCCTTTTGTCCACACTCATTTGGTCTTCTCTTTTATTGCAGAAGCATGTGCCACCGATTTCTGTCCCTCAAAATAGCTGTAAAAGTTGTGAGAAAGGTAAAGAAAAACGGCTGTGCCACTTGCTGAGGAGAGAGACAGATCCGAGCCTCGGATCCGAGGAGTGATAATGGATCCGAGCTCGGATTATAGGATCCGAGGCCTTCCCATGATGGATCCGAGGTCGGATCGTCCTGACCTCGGATACACTCCGCCAGAAGTACAGACGAGGGGTCGGATCCCTCTTGTACACACGGATCCGACCTCGGATCTGTGTTGAGCATTTTTCCAGTTTTTCACTTCTTCCCTTTTTCTACATTTTTGCTCCCACTTTCTTGTGTACTTTGTCCTCTGGATGACCCTGACATTTCTTTCAACTTGTGCATGAATTTCATACATCAATTACCTTCACAATTTCACAAAATTACGCATTAATCACTCATTTATCAATTTCTTAACTCTTAAACAATATTTAAGCAATTATCACCAAAAGAGTTTAAATATGGCTTTAATCTTCTCAAAACATACCAAAAATTCATGCCAAATTCATACAAAATGTACGTTAAATATTCACTTATCAAATTCCCCCACACTTGAATCATTGCTTGTCCTCAAGCAATTTTACACAAAACTTACTTCAAATATTCAATAGAGAAAACAGTATGCGTACTCTTGTCAAATTTAATTCCTCAAAAACCTAGAAACCAATTATTATGCCATTTCTCAGATTACACTAAATACTCATAATATTCAATTAAATAAAAATAATTATGCCTAAATTTTGACAAATTCAAATCAATTCTCTCATTCTATCCTAATTCCACAAATAAGTAAATCACATAGTCAATTTTATGGCCTTCCTCATCCCAAAACTTAACAATTTAGAGGGATTTATTCACAATTCATTTTATTTAAATAGTGAAAACGTCTTTTTACGCGAAAATCAACACTTTTAGGTGAAAATTCCCGGTTACTCGACATTTCACTCATTTAAATTGCCAATCATACTCTTAATTCCAATACCTTTTTACGCGAATGTCGACATTTGTAAATGCCAACCCCCGGTTACTCAGTATGTGAATCATTGGAGTAGAAAATTACTAATAATATATATATATATATATATTTTTTTTTAACAATCAAATTCAATTTCTTTTTTCCTCTAAGTATAGTTAAAGGAAGAATTTGGCCTTTCTTTGACTATATCAATCACTTACTTATAAAATTAAGTAAAAATGATAAATATCATTAATCTTGCAAAACTCTAAGCATAACCTTTCTTATTTAAGCAAATATATACTTTCTAAAATGTAAAAATCTTACTTGCATAATAATTCATTTCAAGCCAAATAAGAATTAAACTTTTCCAAAATACACATAGCTTGTTATCCAAATGGAAGATATTTTAGAAAAATTTTGACAGAGTTTCCCCATAAAAATGGATGAAACTCCCTGCCAACAACCTCATTTTCACAAAAAATTATCCTCATGACAATATCTCCAAATATAATTCCAACATTTTTAAGCTCTAAACAACTAAAGTCATGCATTTCAAAACACAATCACCCATACGATAAAGTGATCCCTCCCCCACACTTAAAATCTACAATGTCCTCATTGTAGAGGAAGGTAAAAGAACTGAAACTTCCCTCAAATAGGTGGTGATGCAATTTGAAGCCCTTAATCATCATGATCATCCAAATTCTGCCCAAATTGAGACAACAAGGGTACCAAACACCATAAGTAGCACAAGATGATTCAAATAAAAGAAAACTGAAATCACAAAGTTTGTCTTAACAAAAGAAAAGAAAAATAAAGAAATAAAAGATGTAATCCGCTAAAAAGTATCATGGTTGCTCGGAACGAGGGTCTACTGCCTCCTCGGCTCCATGATAACCCTGTGAAGTACCAATATGGCCCTCCTCCTGATGAGGTGTCGGAGTAGGAGACCGTCGGATATGAAAATGATCCTCGATCGCACGAAGGCGGCGATCATGTCGGTCGAGGCGCTCAGTCATCATCCGCTCCGTCTGGTCAATGC